AGCCGCAGATATCCTCCGTCTTGTTGCCTGGCCTAGGGATGGAAGAATCGAAATCGCCGACATCTCTTGCAGATAGTACTCCAGGGTTGAAAGGCTTTTAAGCCTCATCCGCCAAAGCAAGTCGTTGACCGAGAGCCCTTTCTGGAAGGCGGCGATGGCTCCCCCGGCCCTCAGAGAACCTGGTGTCAGCTTGACCGAGGCAGGGATCTTCAGCTTTGCAAGGAGCGCGTCCCATCGACGCCTGTAAACAGCTGGGGACCCAGGGTACAAGAGCTCACCTGAAGGGAGGTCTTGCCAAAGCCAGGCGGCCAGCTGTAGACAAACCAGGTCATCGAGCTTGGCATGCTGAACTTTAGCAGACTTCCTACGGCTTTTTGGCTTCTCGACCCGAAGGTAGAGCCAACGATGGCTAGGCTCAAGGAGATCGACCGGGGTGAGCACCTGGTGCCGCCTCATGCGCAGCAGCTCGCCTGGCCTCATAATGGCGTAAAAGATGCCTGCAGTTGCGGCGGCCCACCTCTTCCAGCCCAAAGCTAAAGCAAGGCCGCACATGGCCTTCAAGACAATCTCCGGCATGGGAGTGCGATGGCAGATCGGCTGGATCTCCTCCCAGCGAGACACCATTTCCCAAGCTGGTTTAAGGTGTGGCCTCAGCAAAGGAAGGAGCTTTTGCCCGTGCGCCAGCAGCTGTCTGTAAGAGCCCAGCGAAGCACCAGTTTTGTAGAGCTCGTCGGCGTAGTCCCGCAAAACCAAAGCAAGAAGCGGGGGGCAGCTAAAAAGAGCCAGGACAGCCTCGTTTGAGACTTTCTCCCTTAGCCAGCCGACGAAAGCCCCCCAAACTCGTGCTCTAAGTGAGATGGTCCTCTGCTCCACCAGCTCGACGTCGAAGAGAGAGCCGCGCCTGGCTTGAAGAGGCTTCCGTGGTCCTGGCACTTTTGCCTCACCAATGTGGTCGGCGTCGTCGCGCACGCAGCTGCTAACAGAAGCACCCGGCCTAGTGACGGCAGTCCAAAGGGCCCTCGCCAAAACTTCGCAAGCTCGCTGAGGAAGGCTTTCGGCAACCTTCGTCCAGTTCAAGGCTGTCCCAGCCACGCGCCCGCGGAGCACGAGGTGGTCGGCGCAGCCTGAGCACAGCAGCTTTGAGCCCTGCAGGTCAGTCGTAGTAAGGATGCACGTGCGGCGGCGCCACCTGCAACCGAAGCGACAGCAGTCGAAGACCCAAAAGCCTAGGCCATGGCAGCTCCGGACCAAGTCAGTGACCTCGGGTTGCTTCCATAGCCAGCTTCCCTCAGGGTTCTCAAGCCAAACCGGGACCCCTAAGCTAACAGCAACCTTAACGACACGAACGACGAACGTGCAGTGCTTGTTGTCGTGGCAGACTCGGGAAAGGCAGCTTGTAGGGAGATCTGGAAGACCGGTAGGATGGTCCCGACTCCGAAGGGGAGGGCGAACAGCAGCACTGAAGGTCGGACACCCCGGAGAGAGGCCGACTGCACTAAAAGCGTGGCCCTCGAGGCTTTTGAGCAGAAGCTCCTGCAACCGAGGATCCAGCAAGTCCTGGCGTGAGTCGTGGAGCCAGTCGAAAGTGAGAGACCAAGGGAAACCTGCCTTGACGGCAGCCTTTGCCACACCTCTTGAACCCGAGTAGAGGCACAGGTAGCCTGGGGCCGTAGGGCAGGCTTGTGCGGGCGGTCGGTGGCCGGCTGGCCAAAGGAACTGCCGTTTTGAGCAGCTTTGCAGGAAGGAACGAACGGTAGGCCCAAATCCAGGGCTGCAGTGGCCAGGAGCCTCAGAGGATGGGAGCCCGTCAGCCCCGGGGTTTTGAGGCGCTGCAGAAGGACTGGGGTCCCGCCCTGTAAGAGAGGACTCGCCGTAAAAGCCAGGGGCAGTGTCACGAGAGGCGAACTTCTCAGCAAGAACGTCGAAACCCTGGACCTGAAGGGGGTGCAGGTTGCAATCCTTTAGGAAAGAGTCCAAGGCAGAGAAGTCCCCCAACTCGGCAAGCCGAAGCCACGCAGGCTCAGGAATAGCAGGGAGTCGCAACGGCACGAGACGAGTGGGATCGTCGGAGGGGTTGTCAGCCGAAGCGACATAAGCACAGGAAGGATGCAGATTGAAGAAAAGAAGACCCCCGAGTGCAGAACGGAGGCGACGGTTTATGGAGAAAGAAGCTGACCTCCCCTTGAGGAGAGATCCCAAACAAACCTGAGAGTCCAGTAAGGCAAGGGAGCGAGAAGACTCCCAGTCACGGAAGCCCAGGGCCGCCTCGACGGCCAAGTAGGAATCCATCTCCTTCAGGTTTATGTGATCAGCACGACGTCTGCGGAACACAGCCCCTAAACGAAAGGAGAGAGCTTGAGCAAGCTGGGTCCAAAGAGGGCTCGTGCGGTACACCTGGCCAGGCAGCTCACTCTCAGGAGGTAAGAAGCCACGGCGCTTCAGCAGGCTGTCAGAAGGAGAAAGGAGCCGAGCCCAAAGGCCCTTTGTTGGGACGTGGCGCTGAAGCTCACGCGTCAGGCAAGGAGCAACCCGGCAGGTGACATAGGCGCCCAAGTTGTCTGAAGCATCCGAAGCAACGATAAGCCCGCTGGACTTAGCCCGAAGGTCGGTGCGGATGAGGGGCGCGAGAGCACACAGCGAAAACAACTCAACTCGAAGGGCGACAGTGCTCTCGACCAAGTCCTGACGGCCACGGCCTCGCTGCAGCAAGTAGACCTGGTCCAGCAAGCAAAGCGCGCGGCGCCTGAAAGAAAGCACCGAAACCCAAGACCCCGCAAGCACCTCAAGGAGCGAGACCGTCAAGGCTGGGAGCTCTAAGACAGCAAGGGTCAGAGAAACAAGCGGGGACAGACGGGACCAAGACGGGCGAACAAACCCCACATCGCCGAGGACGTCGGCGCCCCAGAAGGAAGCCCGGCTCTCCATGAAGAAACCCTTCTTCTCGTGACGAGGCAGACGAGCTGAGGAGTAGACCTCATGCATCCGGGCAACGATGCGAGGGCTGTGGCAAGTCTGAGGGTCAAAGTCCTGTCCCCTGGCAGCTTTTTCGATGACAATCAAGTCGTCAATGATGACACCGAGCCCAAGAGGCTGCCTAGGAGGGGGGTTTCGCAAACACACCAACTGCTCAAAAGAGACCACCCCGGCCCCCAGCACCAAGCCGATATGACTCGCTTGCCCTATCGACACAGCATTTACGTCTCCCATGGCCATGCAGTTTAAGGCTGCAATAACACAAGGGGCTTGTAAGAGGTCGGCTGTGAAGCAAGAGAGGTGCTGCAGGGAGGAAGGGGAGTAGAAGCCCACAAATCGATAGTGAGCGGAGCGATCCTCCGTAGTCAGGAATTGATGGTAGTAGTCACGAATGTCGTCCCCCGAAAGGTAAAGTTGTTCAGAGTCCTCCAGCTCGAACCGAAGCAATGCAGTGGCCGCCCCCATGGTGCCGAGCCAAGTCATGTCGGAGGCCATAACCAAATTCACCGGGCGGGCATCGACTATCAGCCGATCGGCCTCAGTGCTTTTCGGGATTGCAAACAGCCCGCAGGCGGTGCGATGGTCATGCAGGTCCCCTCTGAAGAGACGAAGGCGGCCCGAAGCATCCAAAGCGGTCAGCAAATCCATCCGGGCATCTTTTGAGGAACACCTGAAAGTGACGCGGGGAGGAGGGGCCGGAGCATCTTCAAGAGGCACGCTGTGGAGGCTGGGGCTAAGGTACAGCGAGCGAAGATCCCTGTCCAAGAAGGGAGCCGGGTCGAAAGCCGGCCGGCTGCGAGGCAGGCTAACCCGAGAAACCTCCACGTCCTTTGCTAGGTTCAGGTCAGGGAGGGAGGAGCAGCGAGCACTTGGGTCGACCACAGCCAGAGCACGGACCTGGGCCTCAACCTTCTCGACCTTAACTGCAGTTCTGCCCATATCCCCGGCAGTGACAGGAGGCTGGGAGTTCCACATGTCAACAGCCTCAGCTATTCGGGCCCAAGCCCGAGCCGAAGCAGAAGCAAGCTCCCCTGAGAAAGGAGCACAGAGAAAAGAACGGCCAGGGCCACGCTTGACCCGGTGGCAAGGCTCAGAAGAAAGAAAATCCAGCACCATAGCGATGCACTCAAAAGCGCCATGGTTGCCGTGCTGTACTTCAAACACAGAAGGGCCGACCTCGGCGAGGGAGCGGCGAAAGAACGAGGGAGGACACGCAGGCCCAAAGTCAGGGAATGTGCTGGTTGTGAAGGTGCCGTGCACTTCGGGGAAGCGCTGCAGAAAATCGCCCAAGGAGGGCCACAGGTCCGAAGGGACCACTGTAGAAGCAAGCGCCCCGGGAGCAGCCATTGGGTCGGCCCAAAGCGGCAGCCAGAGCGCTAAGCGAAAACAAAAGAG